GGGGGGGGGGCAGGTTCCAGGCAGCTGGATGCTTGCAAGTGGGAGGGGTGCCAAAAGGGCACTGGACCCTCTGTCCCTTCCCAATCCTGAGTAGCCTGTCCTGCCCCCACACTCCACAGCCACACTGTCCCCTCTTCCTGGGACAGTCCCCAGAGGCTCCTCCACCCCCCTCCAAGCCCATACCTCTTACCAGCATATCAATACCATCTCAGTCTTTTGGGCCAGTGGGGCCACCTCATGAGGGGACCTGGCCCTCCTCCTATCCTACAAAGTCCTGGAGAAAACCCCACTGTACATCAAGGCTGTGGGAGGAGGGGTTGGAATTGGATGCCCTGAATTCTTGCCCCTAGATGAAACGGTACTTGGAGTCACCTAGGTGAGGACTCAGAAGGGCCCTGCTCAGGTTCCCAGTGACCTCCGAGAATGCGCCTCTTTCCTGGGCCCAGATCCTTGGTAAGGGCTGCATGTGAGCAACCTCATTTCGCTCTCACTTCGTACCTGTAAGGTGGCTGCTGTTATTGCCTTGCCCAGAGCTCACTACTTCTAGGGGTCGGTGAAATTTGAACTGGGGTCTGACTCAGGGTCTCGAGGGCCGGTGAGAGCAGCCACCTGGGGCACCTCCTCCCAGAAGCTGCTTTCCCCAACTGCTTGAACCTCCAGCTTGGGTTCCCACGAATGTCAGAGCTCAAGGACCCAGACTGATCCATTAATCCCGCTGCTTCATTTCAGAGTCAGAACGACCAACCTAAGCCCCAGATGGAAGGAGACTTGGCTGAGCTGCTGGGTTTAGTGGCCGGGCCGATTGAGAACCTCCTAGCCCAGGTCAGCTCCCAGCCCTGCTGGCACATCCCAGAACCTGTCTTGTTCCCCAGAGGGCCAGGGTCAGTCTGTGCTTTAAAGGTCGTTGACCTTGCTTTCTCCCAGTCCTCACTCTCAAGGAAGGGCCTCTTCAGTCTCACGTGTTTCCATCCTGGTGCAGCCTAAAGCAGTTTTCTCTTGAGTGGCCCCCAGGAGGCAGTGATGCTTGGTGCCTGGGCGGGCTTCTGAAATGAGTCGCTCCCAGGAGAGGATTTCTATGTATTAACTCCAACTTTTATTAGAATGCCAAAAAGAAGGTATAATTTTTCTCATTTTACAGATGATGAAACTGAGGCTTAGGTTAGGTTGCCAGGGCCACATAATAAATGATGAATCTGAGTATTTATTATAAGGTAGGACAGGCATTTTATATACTAAGTATCATTTAATCCTCACACTAATCCCATGAGGTAGTTACTATTTTTACCCCCAATACACAAAATGAAGCAACAGGCTCCGAGGTCGCTCAAGGCTGCAGGCCCGGTGAGTGCACTAAGCCTTGTCCAGACGTGGGCCACTCTCTGAAGCACCTCTCCAAGGGCAGGCTGCTGTGGGGCCCGCACTCCTCCTTTTCTGTTAACCTCTGCCCCTGCACCCCAACCCCAACC